ACGGCCCAACCCCACCTCTGCCAATTTCCAAGGTTTCAGGCCTGGAACGTTGCTGATTTTCAGAGATGCCTTTACGTTGTTGATAAACGAGAGTAGCAAAAACCCTAGCTTGATGTATTTGCAGAGATGCCAGACCCGCTAGGAAAAAAGAAATCTAGAAAAACAAAACGCCATCCAAGTTTTCCAAAAATCGAACGCCTAGGGGGGCTAGGCGGGTCCTTATTATTTTATTTTGTAAATGGTATAGCCGGTCGGCTATACTCCGGAAATAATATATTTAAATGGTATGGCCGCGCGGCTATACCCTTGAGGTAATCGAACGCCTAGGCGGGCTAGGCGGGTCCTTATTATTTTATTTTATAAATGGTATAGCCGGTCGGCTATACTCCTGAAACAATATGTCAATATGTCAATATTGATGTCTCCAATATGTCAATATGAAATAGAAATAACAATTGCTACTCGACGAAGATCTATTTCCACTAAAAAAATTCCATCTTCTGCATGATTTTGGTTCATTCTTGATAGCAATTGTCGCGCCAAGGCACTAGATATCCTCGTGAAGGATCTCAAAATTTTTGCCAAAGGTAATGAGCAGCTGTTCAAAGAAATGCGGCAATTGTCACGCCAAGGCATTAGATATCCTCGTGAAGGATCTCAAAATTTTTGCCAAAGGTAATGAGGAGCTGTTCAAAGAAATGCATCACATGTGTATGGGTTCAATCCAACGGGATCATAAGGCACTCTCTATATGTGGAGATATAATGTTTATGAGGAAGAATATGAAGAAAGAACTCAACTCAGGCAAATAATTGAGGCAAATCCAGTTTTCCGTGGCAAACTGAAGTATCCTAGCATCAAAAGTCATAGATACATAAACTCATTAACCAAAGGTAATGCTTTCTCTCTAGTTATGGTCTTCCTAATTTCTATTTTGTGATTGCATATGTTCATACATATGCCTATGCGCATTTGTGTGTGTGAGAGAGTACTTGTTATTCTCATATTTAGTAAAAGATTTAGTCACTTTCAGTTTTTTGTAATTGGGAGAGACACTGACTTGTGTGTTTAACTTGACAGCTGGAATTGGCACCCAGTGGCGGACCTATTAAGGCTCGAGGAGGTGCAGCTGCACCTCCCCTAGCCGGAAAAACCATTGTAGGTGCCTTAAATTGCCCCTTTGCTCAACTAGTATGCAGAATACCTTATTTCCATTTCCAACATTTAAGTAAATGTCTTTGTCCTTTTACTTTAATTTATTTTTATAAATTAAAGTAAAAAGACAAAGACATTTACTTAAGTTTACAATGTAAATAAGGAAGTACCCCCAATTTGGATTCAAATAAAAATACTAGAAAATCAAATTCCCACCAAATCAAAATATGAAAAATCGGTTTTAGTGCAAAATACAATTTAGGCTAAAAATAATGGCTCATTAAGTCAATATATACTTCATACTAAAATCCTGTAAAACCCCATTGGGCTAGTGTTAGTCATTCAATTACTTTATTTATACAAGTGATATAAGGGAATGAAAATTTAAATTCTTTCCGATACCTCACATTCTAATGATTTCCAGCTATTAGCCCATTGGGCAAGAATAAAGAATGAATTTTATTTATAACAAATAATACAGGTTATACCCATAAATACCAAAAAAATGAAAAAAAGGATCTGCCAACATTTTGTAGATCAAAGAATGTTGAATTTCATAGTATAAAATTGCATGTATAGTAGTTTACTTTCTAAATTGTATCCATTGTAATTATGAACTAAACCCAATTATAGCATTTTTCTTATTACACTTGACAACCCTGCTCTTTTGCTACGAGATATATCAGTCCGCGGCTATGCTTTTAAAAAATTCAAATGTGTTTAAATGGTATAGCCGTGCGGCTATACTGTTAAAATATTGGATAATTTTGCTTTTAGCAATTCTGAATGTACCTTGGAAACATCATTCATAGTATGAGAGCATACAATTGCCAGGTTTGCCATTCAGATACTCTGTCAGAGCATCTCCATGAGAGTACAAATTTTACTAAAATTCTAGTTAAAATAGCTAACCACTTAAAAGGTGGTTCCTCCAGCAATGCTCTCTATTTTAACTAATCTCAAATATTTATTATTTTAAATTCATTAAAAAATTTAAAAGAAAGAACTCAAAATTTTAAAAGAAAGAACTCAAAATGAAAGTACCTCACCACCGAACCTTTCTTTTTCTTCTCTCTCTCTCTCTCTCTCTTACGCAGCTTCTAGCTTTTTCTTCTCTCTCTCTCTCCCGCGTTCTTTCTGTCTCTTT